GCGGTTTTGGTTAATGGGTAGCGTCTTTCTAAGATTCTGAGCGGTCGCGATGATCGAGACATCCGCGTCGCGTCTAGGCGTCCGGTCGCGATCTCGTCTGAAAATGGATGCGAACGATAAGAGAAACGACACTAGCGAATTATTAGTTCGAATGAATGTTTAATAGTCTTACCCAAGTCCTGTTTAGCTTTTTTAGCGTATCCCGCGCTATCCTCGCGGTCTCGCTCGGTTAGCCTCGATCGATCGTCGAACGAGTGCTGCTGTTGCGGTAGCCCCTCCATTGTCGCGTACATTATCGCTCGTTTTTTCTCGTTCGTAGGCTTCGGCGTTCTTCGTCGACAATGAAGCGCTTAACTGATGGATGGTCTTTATATACTCGCGTAGAGATCGCTTTTTCCCCTTCCGCGCGCGTTCTCTCTTATATTCTATTCTTTTAAAATGATGGCAGAGTCCCTCTAGTCGTCCTCCTCGTCGATCCTCTCTCTCTCGGTCGCGTCGCCGAGACGATAGACGCGACTGAGGAGATCGCGCAATTGTCTTAGCAGCCCATCCGTAGGACACTCGATACCGAGCGCGTGTAGATCGAAAGGACCCGCCAAAGTTACGATATTCGTAAATTCGTTAAAGGCGTAAAACTGACGTTTGGCGAAGAAATATAGATTGCCGTCGATATATCGAAAGGCCGACGTTATCGCGGACGGTATTCCGGTAAATATATTTTTTAACGGAGCGTGTCTAATGACTATCATGCGACACTCGTCGATCTCCGCTACCTTGTCGTCGTCGTAGATCGCGTAGGTTCGTCCCGTGTGCGTGTTTATCGCAGCGTTAATCTTAACATTTCGAGGAAGTCCGATATCGTGGAGATATCTCGGCAAACCCGATTTTAGCTTAAGGCTGGGATATTCCGCGAGGTAGATCGAATCGTCCGCGAATAGCGCGAGATCACCCAAGGGTCTTCGATACGCGGCGGATAGGCGCGTGAAATTCGCCGGAAGAAACGCCGCGTAATCCGTGAGCGTCATGGGCCTACCGTAGAGTCTCTCGGTCACGTCGATCGACCACACATTGCGGCGATTAGCTATGTACAATCGGTGATTCATTATCAGCGCGGCGTCCACGCGCCGCATAGCGCAGAGATCCGCGCGCGCGGAATCCATCGGCGCGACGCTCGTCGTAGCAGGCGCCGCGGTGGTCGCTGGGGTCGCCGTCGGATAGTTTCCGTCGTCGTGAGACCCGTACAGATTCTGTATAGCGAGAATATCCTCTACGTTCAGCTTAACCAGAAATTTCGCGTAAGTGTGCGCGCCCGTTCGATACGATATCAGTATATCGGCTCGCAGCGAGTCGCGCCTGAAGGTTAGCGACGAATTCACCGCCCATAACGCGAACGCCGCTTTGGCCGTTCGCGAGAGTTCCTCGCTAGCTACCTGAAAGTTCCATGTGAGACGCGTTTTTGGCCATTTTCGAGCGATCGGACTATACGCGCGATCGGGAACGTCCGCGAGACCGCATTGCGATTTGCGCATAAGGCTAAGCGTAACGGCGTCTAACGCGTCGTTTCCCGATAATTGATAATCCTGAAACAGCGACAACGCGCGACGCAGAGATGTCGCGTTATCGGACGACAGCGATTCTCCGTCGTCCTTCAGAAAACCGTACACGCGCAGGAAGCGGAGCGCCTCGGCCTTCTCCGAGTCGACGGGCGCGGCGGCCGTCGCGGCGACGAGCGTCGTCGCTAGGACGAAAAAAACCGTCCTTGCGTTAGTCATTGCGCGGAGCGGGGAAATACGCGGGAAACTATCGAGAGATGCCGGGCGCGATTGATTCGCGCGTTCGGTGAGACGTCTATTTTTATCGTCGGCGAATTCGACGCGGGTGGGGGGAGGGGGAAATGCATCGACGATTCGTTCGAGGAAGAGTCGCGGCCCGCCTCGATTATAGGGACGCGCCCTTTCGACGACGAGCGAACATCGGTCGAGCGTCCGGGACGCGCGACATCTAGCGGACGTTCGAGTTCCTCTCGCGGTTTTACTTTTTTTATTATTTCTATTTTTATTATTCGTTTATCCTCTAAAAAGGACACTCGACGAGCGATTAGAGAAACGTACCCCTTCCGGCGACGATAAACATGCATCGAGTATCCGGGATGCACGTTATTAAGCGGGCGCTCGAGTCCCTCTCATCGCATTATTCTTTGTTATTTTTTCCTCTATAATCTATTTTTATTACTCGTTTATCTCCGCTCGTACAGCGGCATCCGCGCGTCGATCCTTATAAACGCGAGATCATTTCGAGAAGCGTCAAAGTATTCTCGCTCGCGAGATAGCTAAGTGACGAGGCGACGAAGCGCGAGACGGCGAAGAGCAAAGTAGCGAGGTGCGAAATAGCAAGAGTTAAAATCGGTCGCAAACTGCTCGATATGGAACGAATCGAGCAGATAATTAACGCGGCCGATCATATTAATGTAAACGGAGATTTAATCGCGATAAAGTCCTACGTTTTGGGAGATCTCGCCTTGGATCTGCGCGAGCAGGCGCGAAGCGTTATCGAGAACAGTCCGGATTCGTTCAGACTCACCTTTCAATTGGACGGAGATATCGATATCGCGCGTTTAATGTAAGTATTCGATTGGATTTTTTTATAATACTTTTTATAATAAATTATAATCGTTTAATAACCCTTTTACTTTTTTACTTCTGACAACAGATAGAGGACTGTATAAGAACGGCGCGAGAATCGCTCTACGATCTAGTGACGAAGACGAGGACTATGCTCGTGCAGGCGCAAAGCGTTTACAGTGCGTTGCGCAACGCTCGCCGACGCGACGTCGCGCGAGCCCCCGAGCAATTCGAGATTCGCGATCGCGACTTCGCCGTCCCTGAGTTGATCGACAGGCTTCACGGACGCGAGGATAGGCGAGTCGTCGCGTCACCAATCGATGAGGAGCCCAAATCGTGGCCGATCGACGAGGAGCCCGAATCGCGACCGATCGACAAGGAGCCCGAATCGCAGCTAATCGGCGAGGAGCTTAAATCGCAGCCGATGGAGGACGAGGCCGAACCGTCGATGGTCGACAAGGATGAACCGCCGGCGAATGTACGATTGGAGGGTTACGAGCCCGAATCGCAGCCGTTCTTCGAGCTGTAACTTTACACGCTAATAAAATTTGATTTTTGTTCGTACTTATATACTTCGTGTATCGCACGCGCACATTTGTAAAATGTGATTTTTTATGAATAAATGCTATATATTAAACGAAGCGTCGATTCTTTTCGTTTCTCTTTCCTTCTTCAATATCCTCTCGCTCGCGCGCTATCCTTCTTTCGCGCCTTTCGTAGTAAGCGTTGGCGCTCTGTTATCGCGGAAGGATACGCGCTCGCGATAAAACTAGTGTTCGTTTAATATATAAAAAAAAATTTATTTAAAAAAAATACACGTTTAATATAAAATACTAAAATAAAATAAATTTGTTTTTATTTTATTATAATGACACTAGTCTGTTAGATAGTCGAACACTTTCTGACGGATATCTGTATAAAATAGGAGATGCGTGAGTTATTATCGCGGAAAAGGATACGCGGCCGCGATAAAGGAAAAACGCGGTTCGTTCGTATAGCGTATTTTGCGACAGTATGACGAATACATTTATTAAAACTTAAAATAAATGATTATATTTATAGATTATATAATTGACTCGATGCATTATATATAAAGTTTAAAATGTATAATTAAATTTATAGGTTATATAATTGATAATAGATTCGACACATTATATAAAGCTTAAAATATAATTAAATTTATAGATTAAATAATTGACTCGATATGCTATATAATATATGATGATGCATAATATACAATAATTCGATATAATTTATAATACAAACGATTAGATATAAAGTAATATAATATAGAATCAATCGCACATATTACGCAAATGATCGCGTCGTTCGAACCACCAATCGTGCAATTTGCAACCGTTCTCCAATGCGCAATTCTTCGCGTGATATCCGCAGCAAAAAGGCCGCGAAGCGTTTAGAGTCTCCAGACGTTTGATGTCCTCGTAATCGGCGTCGATGGTCTCGACGGAGACGGCTACGTCGCGATCGTCGGCGCAGCGAAAGGCCCGCGAAGCGTTTAGAGTTTCCAAACGTTCGATATTCTCGTAATCAGCATCGATAGTCTCGACGGAGACGGCAACGTCGCGATCGTCGGCAACGTTTCCTAAGATCTCGATTAGCCATTTTTTCTTCTCGTGACCTTTGACGTAGATTCTTATCGTTGAATCGGGGCTAGATTCTCGGCATACGGCGTCCCGAACGAGTCTTTTCATCGACCCGTAATTCACGTGTCCGTCGTTCCACTTTAGTTGATGATGATTAGATGTCAACCAACACATTCGCGATTTTTCCGCTCTCGTTAGCAGATCCCAAGACATCGGTGGGCGAAAGATGTGATGCGTCAATTCCGCGCCATTTCATAACACGGCTACTTCTTTCGCGACGAATCTCTCGTTAACTACGAAACCTTGAAGATTGACGAAGATCGGTGCGTCCATCGTCGTTGTTAGCGGTACTCGAAGTGTTCGCCTCTATTATTCTCTCTTCATATTTCTTAACACGGCTACTTCTTTCGCGACGAATCTCTCATTGACTACGAAACTTTGAAGACCGACGAAGATCGGCGCGTCCATCGTCGTTGTTAACGTTACTCGAAGTGTTTGCTTTTTGATTATTCTCTCTCCATACTTTTTTGAATATCATCGCGCTTACACGATTCTGCGCACAACGTTGGTGAGCGGATTGTACTCCACCACTCGATCGTGAATGATAAGACAGTAAGCTGTGGTATTAGAGGGGATGTTTTCCTTGCAATCGAACTCTACGCGAACATCCACGGTGGCGCTCTTGATCGACTCGTTCTGTCGAGAATAGTCGATGACTACGAGTGGGCCGTGGACTAAAAATTTATTCAGATTTAAAATCGCTTCGTCATTGTCGCATCCGTAGTACGTTCTTCGAAATTTCGAGTACATATCGTACAGCGCTGCGACTTTGCGTTTATCGAAATCCAGATTCATGTCGTCGTAAGAATAAAAATCAGAATTAAGATACAGTTTGACATTAGTCAGTTTGCAATCGTCGAATAGGGAAGGCTACTCGGACAGAACGTTCTTCTTTCCGGACTGTAGCGCGAAGATAACGTATCGCAGTTTGTCGAGTTGCGTCGCCGTTTTGACAGCCCACAAATGTTTAGTCGTGCTCTGTGGAAGCGGAAACTCGTAGAGATCCCACGAGCGAAAAGCGACGCTCAGGTATCGTCCGTTATCCAACGTGCGCAATAACCTTAATTTATTAACATCGTTTAACACTATATGACGCATTCGCCACTGTATCTTTAACAAAACGATTTTAGGCTCATGCGTTTCGCGCGATATGATACAATGGTTATCGTTACGCGCTCGTATCAAAATAAGTTCGTGTCGCGCATTGATCACGACACGCTTGTAATCCTTGCAAAAACCTAATAACACGTTGAGAGGTACGAAAAAGTTGAAATCGTTGATCGACGAATGAGTTACCGCCGATAAGTCCCATCCGGCGTTCTTTAATATCTTGCCTTTTTCGACTGTCAGCGACGCGTAATTCTTGATCGTGATCGTTATCCCAACGTTTCTGCTTCGATCGATCTCCACACCGTCGAGCTCGTAGCGAATCTCCTCGAACATAAACGCCGCGCAATTGTTCACCAGCTTGTTCACCAATTCGTCACCGACGCGATTTCCTTCCGCGCACTCGGCTTCTCCTTCGACTCGAGTCTATCTTCGGAACCGTGATCTCTTCGCCGCGAAAATCGATTAGTCTTCCGTTCTGATCCACGACACGCACATTTATATCGGTAACGGTCAACGCGATGATCGGGAGGTAAATGATCTGCGCCGGGATCTCCGACACTTTATATCCGGGTGGAACATTAGGCGCGAACTCGTGTATAGTTTGCGCGGATTTGTCGTTGTGATACGCTCCTGTCGTGACGTTGCACTCTACTCTAATGAGATTAATAGCCACAATATTTATCGGTTTATCGGACGCGTACCATTTATTCGATTGTAACACGCGAGACGAGAAACGCAGTAGCGAGCCGATGTTATCGGGTTTTGTGAAATTTACTCGATACGCGCACTTGATCTCGCTTCTCATAGTGTTATCGTTACCGCGAAGCGTTATAGAATTTTCACTCTTATCATCGTTCTCATCGTCTTCGAAATAGTCGTCGCGGTCGTCGCCGACGTTGTATATATAATAGTCATCGCTCATTTCCGGTTCCTCGTTCCCGCGCTGTCGTCTCTCCTCTCTCGCTCATCGTTTGCGATGAATCGCGGCTCTTAGATACGCGCTTATAGCGCTTAACTCGCTTAAGATCCCACTGGAATCGCGATAACCTCGTCGTTGTCGTCGAAGTAAAATTCATTATTCGTGGAATTTACATTCGGTATTGTATTTTAAGTCTCGAAATTGGTTAAACCTAACTCATAATCATCGTCGTTTAAATCCAGAGGTGGAAAGTAACTCGCCACGAGAATGCTGCTTCGTCCGGAAAGAGTAAGAGTTAGCGACATGATTGACGAGAGCGGTCGAACTGCGCTCGATCGACGAACGACGGTCGATATTATAGCGTGCGATTCCTCCAATCAATCCCCCGGAGAAATTGAAGACTCAATTGTCCACAGATATTCTGATCGCGCGTTTGCTCGGAGCGACGATTGTATCGA